CGGAGTTTGAGTATTTGTGCAGGCAAATTGTATTGAACTGATTCCCACGAACGCCTCGGCCAGATGGTTTCGATTTGATTGGGCCAGTTCGTTCCTCGGCCAAAACTCGGCTTTGGATCGGTTCCGATCGGATCTCCAGAGGCATGCAAATCATTCGCGGAATGTTTCGGGGGAAGAAACATTTCACATTCGCACTGTTCTCGGCTCGGAATGGCCAATGGTTTGGGTGTGGGAATTCGAGTCGAGTGTGATGCATAATCACTTTGGACGTGGCCCAAACCATTCGGAAATTGGCATAAGTTGCAGAAATTCCAATAATATTCCGTTGTACAATTTGTGTGTGGCGCCGCCGAAGAAAAAGGGAAGTTAAAGTGTTTAAAATGGGAAAAGAGTTTCTTTATATAAATTTTAGATTTTATTGGAAAAAAATAAGGTCGGTAAAAAGTATATTTTAGGTTTTCTTTTAAATGCATATGAAAAGAATTGATTTGTTTCATATTTTTCTATTTAGCAGTTGCATTATCGATATGTAGACACCTTTTACAACCTCTAAAACCCAACAATTTCACAAGTCTGATTGTTAGAGACCTTAGATCAATCCCAAAACCTAAGCCCACGGAGCCAAACCCAAATTGAAGACCCTCCCAAATAATTATCCCAGTTTATTCAACATTCTCCCATTTTCTCTTCTACCTTCGCTTTACCCCTCCTTCATTCGAAAGGAACCACACACTTATTTGCAGATGATCTTTGGCCATGCGCCAACTCATTTGTTGTTTGCCTGCTCAAGAACTCTGTCAATAAACGAAAAGATTTCAAGTAATTCCAAAACAACAAATACGATCGCTCTTGACCTACGGCAAAGATGAAACGAAATATTAATATTTCCTAATCCATTGTAATTATGATTCCCCGGCATTGTTTGTCGCAGGCACTGTAACCTTCGGATAAAAAGACAACAAACAGCGAGGTCTTTTCAATAGATCAAATTACCAAGTAGATATGTCAATTCCTCACGTAAAACGCGATAAGAGATCTGCGTCAAAAGGAAAATAAAAATGAAAAAAATAAATAAAAAGCAATAACCGACATCTAACCACAAAAATATCGACTACCGCTGGTCTTTTTTTTCCCCAGAAATCCTGGCCCTAATCTCTGACAGGGATTATAGTTGGTCCAATCAGCGGCAACGCCTGCGGCTAATGAGCTGCCGTCTGTTCCAGGGAATCCCAAAAGAGACCAAAAATAGAGGAATGAAGAAAACGTAAGCCCCTGGTAATTACTCGGTTCCAATAAAAAAGAAGTCCCCCCGAAACAATAGACCAGATGATCGGTGTTAAGCTGGTGATCTTGGCGATCTTATCGCAGGCCTAGATGTGTGTTATGACTTTTACTTTTCTTTGTCACGATCGTGGTGTGTCGCTTCAAATCAAAGCAGCAGATTAATAATTCTGCGCCCCTCCCCACACCCCCTTATCCAGCCATCGGTTGCGATCGGAAAGATGACAAGAGTCGGTGGAAAAATCAAAATCAAATTAAAAGACAGCAATCAATAATTTGACACGACTTGGGGCGATCGACAAAGGCCCAAAGACAACGAGGATCCTTACACGTGGGGAAAAAATTGTATTTTGATTGCATACCAAATATTTAGAAACTAAAGTTAAGTTTGTGGCATTTTATTATAAAAGATGTTAGAGTAGCCAACACAAAGTTGGTACTTGTTCAATACATTTTTGTTGTTTCCAGTTTAAATCATATAAGTTAGTTCCAGACAATCGCGTTTTGGTCGAAAATGCCTAAAAAAGAGAAAAACTATTGCAAGTCGGTAATGATTACTTGCCTGTTTTCAATTTAAAATTTGTTCTAGTTCAAGCATTAAAAACTACCATAAAATGTTCCTTTTAAATACAAAGGATTAAAATTGTTTAAGGTATTGATTATTTGAAAAAACAATATATTAAGAATTTTTCTTAACTACCATAAAGTCTTCCATTAAAAAAAGGGTCTCTTGATGTAGTTATTTGAATGAAACTATGGGATTTGAATTCTATTATAATTTTTCCAAGTGTATCTGCGATCGTTTGTCGGTGTCCCGTTGTTCCAGTTGGGTCTTGAAGTGAACCTGGCTGCGATCTCGGAGCTCTGTGTAGATTTGTACGACTTTTGCGACATTTTGTACGAGGCGATGGATCGATCCGATCCGCTCCGATCTGCTCCTCTCATTCTCATTCTCAGTTCCGCGCTGATCCGGATCCCGTCCCGCTCCCATGTCGCCTGCTATGTACAACATCAAGTTTTATCGCTGATCGTGATCATGTAATTCCAGCCCACGCATGCGCACTCAGCGCTCGCTTCGAAGGAATCAAGTTTAGCGCATTCTTATTCGACTGAGTTGGAGATGGAGATGGAGACTTCGACTTCCACCTCGACTGGAACTGGGACCTTGTGACAGATGGTTGTGAGGCTTCAAGGCATTCCCTCGGATCGCCCAACCCAACTCGGCCGGGAAAGGAACCGAAAGGAAAGGCAAGGATGGGACAGGCAGGAGCAGGAGGGACTGGTTTCTCCTTTTTTCCTTACACTTTGGAAAACGAAGTACCCCAAAGTAAGAAATTTGCAAAGCTGTGAAGTGATTAAGGTAAATATAAAATAATATTTCAAAAGTTCATTCAGTGTAAAGATATTCCACACTTTTATGGTTGAAAGATCCTTAGACAGGATACACATACATAAGTTTAATATTTCGGGCAATGTTACTGCCCCTTAAAACTTCAATTTAAAACCATTATTAATAGTATTTGATTGCATTAAACAAATATTTCGGAATAAATTATAAAAGGCATCCATTTTGGCAAGTGCAGCTAGCTGAGGCCTGTGCGATCTTTATGTAAACTGGTACTTGAAATTTGAAATCATGTACCATTTGCCTTGAGACAGACAACGATACTTGGGATGGGATGGGATGGGTTGGGATCGGGGACTTGGCAATGGAGCCTGGCAATCGATGATCGTGTCCCTGAAGAGGAGATGCTGGATGCTGGAGGACCGAGGACCGCCGATCGAGGCGGCACAGGAAACGAGCATTTAAAAGCGCGACTATCGAAATATAACGACATTAAGCCGGGGTTTTCATTTAAAGGAAGCTTGTGTCAATACGACGGAGTTTACCTTGGAATGTGCAATCGCGATCGCTGATCTTTTGATGGCGCCGCCATTCAGGATGATCCGGGCATCATCCCCCAGATGATGATCATCATCATAATGCGTAAGCCGACCACTAAGCGACATAATTGCTACCGTGAGACTGAAGACCCGAGACTCGAGGTTCCAGACTCCCGGACCATTAAAAGCTGCCATCCTAATGCGCTCCAATCAAACACACACGAAACGAGCGTATGACATGTTTGTGCGTAATTAATCACGATAATATCTGTATAAATGGTAGAAAACTGCGAGTCCAGTCCCGGGCCAAATTGCAATTTAATGCAAAAATAAATTGCACTCGGAGCTGGACTGGAGTGGCTTGTATTTTACTCGGTTACTTTTGTATCCAGCCAACCGGCAGCCGGAGAGCTGGCAGCTCCCATGATTATTGGTCATTTACTTGCGCCGTTTAGCGCATTAAAATCCTGCCTCCCCTTCCACCCCCTGAATACCATCTTGGGGTTTCCTTCTTTTTGTGCATAAAGAATAAGGAAATAATTGACAGTTGAAAAGTCTCAGCTATGATTGCGCTGTGATTCGAATTGTGATTGGGTTTGCTGTACGAGCGTATTTTTGGATTCTTCAGCCAGCATTCTTCTCTCGCTCTTTCTTCTGGGTTTCTTCGGGAATGGCGTGCGAGGAGAATCATTTCAATCAACTGGCTTTGCTCGAGGCTGAAGAAATCAACGCGTTGACTAATGGCCACAATTTGCAAGTGCTAGCAGGTTGATGCACTTGGAAAAAATCTGGGATCTTACCAAGAGTGATTTCCTGGAAACCCTCACAAGGTGTTTTCTCTAACGCCTTTTAAGATCGTTAATATTTAATAGATTAATCCATTGTTCCATATTTGTTACCAGGAATTTTACGGCTGCTTTTATAGTTTTGAAAACAGCTGGTTTTTATTTCCTTATCAGGTGATCGCAATCCTTTGGATTCACTTTCTTTTTCATGTTTCCCGATCATGTTTGATTCTAGAGAATTTAGTCTTGGAATATTTTCAGGGATTACAACGATGTTCTTCAAAAAATCTTGTTTGAAAGATTAATACTTAAATATTTATATGATGATAATGGACCATCTTCATAGAACTCGAAAGATAACATAAGAAAAGCTTTTTGCCTACTATTTACTATATTTGGATTGACCAAAAATAATTATATTTTTTGGAATGCTCAAAAATAGTTTTTCTTCTTATTGGCAATATAATATTTGTTGTTAAAACTGTGATTTTGACTAAACCTCTTTTTTCGAGTCATATTTATTGTTAACTGTTAAATTTTTGCAGTTGCCAAGGTTACAAGGTACTTAGCGAAAACTCTAAAAAGCCTGTGAAATTTCCTAGGAAATATCATAAACAACTGGTTGCAAAAATTATAAAAATAAACGTAAATAATCAAGCAAGAGGGAGATGGCAAGAGAAGAGAAGAGGGAGATGGCACGAGCGGGCGGTGAGGAGGGGGCGGGAAGAACACCCACTCAAAATCCGCAGAAACCGGTTCTCTCTTTCCCACATTGAGCTCGCTCTCTGTCTCAGATTTTAGTTTGTATGGGTGAGAGGGAGTAAAAGGTGCTCAAAATACACTGTCAAAACGTGTTTGCACCTGGTCAAAGTAAATTTCTCCGCTCTCTAATCACTCTTTTTCGTAGGTGATCTTGCAGGCGATTCTCTCTTTTGCTCTCGCAGAGAGGGACCCTCGATATTCGGGTATTGGTGAGAGAGATGTAGCGATCAAGAAGTGAGCGCAGGTCCGCGATATGTCCGCAGAGCAATGGACTTTTAGTTATTCCGTGATCTTTTACCAATATTGTGTGCAGCGACGGCTGATCGACGTCAAGAGAAGAAGAAGAAGAAGCTGGAGAATCAGAGAAAATAAACAAATAGTAATATACATATGTGTACAGATATATCATAGCACGTGTGTGTCTGTGTGGAACAAGACCGGAAGTCTGATTAAACAAAAGCGCAAATTAAATTATAGAAACTAAAGATCATCATCGGTAAAGATCGTTTACATAATTTTTCGCGTGTGCCAAGCAAGCAGACTTACTATATTTTATACGAAAAATCGAAAAAGCGTGCCTGCCAATTTGACTTAACTTGGCTGAGACTGCATTCTGTTGTTTTCGTTTTTGGCCAGACGTCAAATTCGATTTTTATGACTTTTGAAAGCGTGACTAAGACGTGATTTATGATGGCGTGTGGTTTTTAATATTCATGTGGACGCGCTCCGAACCTCTCAACCTGCGTAGGTGCGCCAAACAATAAAAAATACAAAAAAATCACCACAGCAAGCAGCAACATCTCGGCCCCGAGGCTTAATCCCGATATCCAGCTGAGTGTGTGCGTGGATTCGACTTTTTTATGGAGGCAGTTAAGCATTTGAGTGCCGCTGCTGCTGCCGCTGCTGCAGCTGCAACGTGCAGCGATATGCCAGCCAAGGCAGCAACATCGCCAACAACAACCGATATTGCAGAGGCGCTAAGCGATCTGGAGGCAAGCACAACAGCATCATCGGCCAGCACCGCAGCAACATCGAAGCACCACAGCAACAGCAACAGCAAGCCAAGCGCAACAGCAACACCCACTATAAGCAGCCACAAGAAAAGCGAGAGTTGCAACAGCAACAAGTGTACGCCGGCAACATCACCGATCGCCAGCAAAACCAGCAGTGCTGCAATGGCAGCTGCAACAGCCACGGCGGCAGCAGCAACTAACGATCTTGCAGCGGCAGCAGCAGTGGTCCTTTCGCTGCAAGGAACCATGGTCAGTAGTCTGCAACAGGCCGCATTGCTGCCGGCCAATTCGGCAGCGGCAGCTGCCCTAAATCTTCAGGCTCTGGAATCCTATTTGGCATTGCAGCGACTCACTGGAAAGTCGGATGTATTTCGCTTTTCCAGCAGCAACACTAGCAACAGCAGCAGCATTAGTAATAATACAACCACCTGCAACAGCAACCACAGCAGCAGTGAAACGGAGCAAAATGCATTGCCCTCGCTGATAGACATAGCCAATATAGAACTCAAGTCGAGCTGTTCATCGAGTTCATCGGGGGAGCCCCCCTTGTCAACAGCAACATCAGCCGGCACGGCAGCAACATCCTCGCCCAGCAGCAATGCCAGCAACTCCAACAACACACCAGCAACATCAAAGTGTCTGCCACTGCCCTCAATTGGTACCGTTAGTGCTGCTGCTGCTGTTGCGGCTGCTGCGGCTGCTGCAGCAGCTGCTGCAAGCCAACAGGCGGCACTCGATTGCGCAACTGCCGCTGAGTTGGCAGCAGAATGCGATTTACCATTGTTAGATGGCGAGGATGCACTATCCTTCGAGGCAGGCGATTTGGACAGCAGCTATGGCAGCTTTATGTTCAATCCATCGGCCTTTAGCCAGGCGGAAATGGATTCGGCCCTGCATTCCCTACAGGCCACCATGTATCAGGACAAGATGAATGTCATATCGGGGGCGGCAGGCGGAGGAGGAGGAGGAGCGGTGGGGGGGCGTGGAGGAGGCGGGCAGCTCGACGGCAGCAGCGGCGGCGGCAGCGGCAGCCCAGCGGTCCAAGAAACAATTCATCTGCAAGTTCTGCAACCGACAGTTCACCAAGTCCTACAATCTGCTCATCCACGAAAGGACACACACGGACGAGAGGCCCTACTCCTGCGACATCTGCGGCAAGGCCTTCAGGCGGCAGGATCATCTGAGGGATCACAGGTAGGTCGGGATCGCCCAAAAAAGAGGCATTAATTACTTCTTCACTCAAAAACAAACACCCTTAAAAATTAATGTTATTTACCATTACCATTACTTAAATCTGCATTTAGAACTTCATTTGTTCATTATATGAAGACGTTTTTGATAAACATGTTTTCAATTAAAGTACAAAAATAAACTCAAAATGTTTTAAGATTGAATACGAATTCTTCATATTTATCAAAAATTATTTACGCTTTGAGATTAAATTCCTTATATTTAAATAATCGATAATAAATGAAATTCAACTAAATATGATTTATTACTTACCAATATTGATAATATTTTGGGAATCTAACTTCAATTGCATATTAAGTCATAATTTTCCATTATAAACTAACCTACATTCCTTCCCTGTATCTTTTTTAATCCACAGATATATCCACTCCAAGGAGAAGCCTTTTAAGTGCGCCGAATGCGGCAAGGGATTCTGCCAGTCCCGCACCCTGGCTGTCCACAAGATCCTCCACATGGAGGAGTCGCCGCACAAGTGTCCCGTGTGCAACCGCTCCTTCAACCAGCGATCCAACCTGAAGACCCACCTGCTCACCCACACCGACATCAAGCCGTACAATTGCGCCTCCTGCGGGAAGGTTTTCCGGCGGAATTGCGACTTGCGGCGCCACAGCCTCACCCATAATTTGGCGGCCGGAGTGGGCGGCGTGGTGGGTGGCAACCTAAGTGATTTATTCGGATCGGGCTCCAGTTCCAGTTCCGAGCTGGGACTGCCCACGGGCTCCACAAGTACTTCCGGTTCCTCCAGGGACTTGGTGGCCGTCAGCGAATGATCTTTACCAGCTCTGCAACCCTGTAATCCCCACTCAATAAATCTAAATCTCATTTGCAGCTCTCATGAATACGAATCCCTCCATTTCGTAATCGTAATCGTACTTACTAAACAGCATTTAATTTAGCCTAAGTTTAGTCCTAGTTATTTTGGTTTAAGCCATGGATATTTGTGACGTAAGCTTAGCAGGAAAGTTTGACTTTGTGTAAGGCACTCGATATGTTTAGACTAAGTTAAATTGTGGACTCTTATTGTACTATCGAATAAATGATAATAGCTTAAAGGAAATTGTGAAAATGTGGTTTATTTTTGGGAAAAGGGTATACTTTTGGCTCCACTTGCAATTAAAATGGCAGTAATATTCTTACTGAAATTAAAAAAAAACTCGTTCTGTTTGATGACTAAAATCCTTTTCACATATCAAACCCTTCAGAATTCCTTGAATTGATATTAGGAAATTTCTCCCAACATATAGCCTTTTTTCTCACCCTTTCTACCACTTCGATTCCACTCTTGTACTTACACTATTTACCTACTTGTAGCAAACTAAAATCAAATATTTGTACCGATGTTTATCGCTCAAGTGCCAACAAGGGCAATTAATGTACCATTAAAGGTGCACACCTTCAAACACCACTCGTACACCTTTGCAACAAGCCTTTGACAACAAACAAGAGTGACAATAGTGGGTCTAAAACAAAGAACTATTTTCCCACCATTTCGTTTGGTTCGCCAGCCTGTTCCACATTCCCAGTCAAACAATGTCGTACAAGTCGGTTGACAGGTGGAGCAGGCGCTATCGCCCCGATCACTGGACCACCCACAAGAGTATGATATGTATTGATATCGGGCCACCCGCTTTCCCACACCGAAACATCCACATAATTCCGGGCGTGTCCGTGGAAAAGAGCTGGGAGATTCTATAGCGAAAAGTGGGCTGTCCGTTCGGGAACAAGGGTGGAGCTCCAGCTCCAGACTGCCACAAAGTTTACAATTTTTATTATCGACTACAAAAGATGCGGCCATAACGACACAAGCACATACAGTGCAGTTCAAAAGCGAACGCCGACCGGGTTTCCCTCCATGGCCATCCTACCCCTTTGGTTTCTTCTCTCCTTTTTTTTTCCTCAGCTCTGGATCTTCCCAAAAAGATCGCCGCGTTTGTCAATCGTTAAACGGATCAATGTAAAGCCGCCTGCAATGTTGTCGTTATGGGGCCTTTACTGTTGCTGTTTCTGTTGCATTTCCTGTGCTTCAGCTGCACCAAACCAATTACAACGATCAAACAACAATTATGGATGAGTCCGAGTTGTGAGTCCCAGTTTGAGTCCGATTCTTGACCAGAGGTCTCGGCTCGGTTCTGGTTTGTTTGTCGTGGCCGGCTCCTCTGCCTCCATCCCCCTCCTCGGGTGGTTAAACATTTTAAACACGACCTGCTTGCTGCTCTCTGCAAATATTTGCGCGGATATTGTTCTATTCAATGGAACAAACGAACAAGTCACACTAAGAAAAATAAATCTCAGCATTCTTGAAGCAAAAAAGGAGCTTTAAAATCAATAAAAATTTAGTTTTAAGAAAGCTACACCTAAGCCAGCAAGCTATATATTTACCCAACCTTATTTAACTGAAAATATATTTCACCATATCGCTATTAAACAATACTTTACAGATCAATAAATAGTCTGTGAATGATAGCTAATATATTTATTAGTATAATTAGCTAACTTAGAACTATTTTTCTGAGTGCATTGACATCTCCCATTAGTCCAGGCTTTAAACAGTCTCCAAAGACCGAGAAACCCCGTGAGTTGAGTCGAGAATGGAGCGTCTCTGCGAATTGCCAGCAATTTCACACTTTATGCGCGACGGCTTCATTTCCCCAGAGTGTTTCCCTTTCGGCCCTTCGGCTCTTGGCTGGCCCAAACCCAAAACTATATAGTAAAATCCAGCTCATCCTCCGGCCAAGAGTTGGACATTCTTCCCAAGCGGCGCGTGCGGGAAGAGCGGATGTTTGAACGCTTGCGAGCCTCGGGTTTGGAGTTTACGAACGCTTCAACGAACGGCCAACTGTTGGACCGTATTGATGGGAAAATTATGAAATTCATTGTTTGTGTTTGACTAATAATTATGACAGCAAACGCATTGTCGTCATAAACGCGAGGGGACAACCCCGAAAAGGGGCGGTGGAGCGGGGGCTGCGGAGGGGGCGGAGCGCACTAAATTCGCTTTGAGGTTTCCGCACCGCCCCAGACAAAAAAAAAAACAACAAAAACTGAAAGCAGAAGAGGAAGAAACTCTGACTAACTCTAATAAGCCCATCAACGGCAAACGACAACGCGGCAACATTCCACCTTCGATCTGCAACACTTACAGTAACAACGGCAAGACTTAGAACAACACCAACATTGCACTTAGAAAAAAGTCAAGAATTTTTCTATTTAAACCAAATAATATGTATTATAATCAATTTTACAGCTCTTTATTAAACGGGAACATATTATAAGCTGATTTGTTACTAATAACTCGTCTATGAATAAATTTAAAGTTATTAATTGTTTCATTTATCTAATTGAACATTATTTTAATAGATCGGGTATTTTCAGTCCTAATAAACTGCAAAGAGTATATTCATATAAATGCCCAATTCTTTAGCATTTAATGGCACAAAATTTATCTATCAAAAACAATAGTTTTAAATATCTAAATCTCAAAAAATTGGTTTTATTTCTTTTGTTAATAACTCTTCTTTTGTAGTTGACAATACTCAATACATGACTGTAGTTACACACACAGTTTGTCTTTCTTCAAATGGTTATAAATATAAAGGATACATGCTTTTCTTTCGGTGTAACAACAACACCATCCAACAATGTTGTTGTCTAGTGTTCGAGGCGTGGCCGTTTCGAAGATTCTTTGAAGTTGGCTATTGCTTTGGGTTTTGGTCAAGGTGTTGTTGCGTTGTTTTGGTGGCGCGGCAAAGGAGCACGATGATGGGGCAGATGATGATGGCCACGAAGAAGGGAAACATTTTGGTGCGTTGTGAAATTTTGTTGCGTTTCCCGGAACCAACGCAAAAAAGCGGAACGTTCTCGTTGTCGTCGGTTGTTCGACTCTTTTGGCCGTTTAGTTGTTTGGCCATCGGTTGTTTGGCGTTGTCTTTTCGGGGCAAATGTAAATGTCAGGGGGCGGTCGGCTGGGCTATTTGGTTATTTGGCCACTCTGCCATTTTGGCTCCGGCCAGTTAGTTTGTCGGCACCATTTGCTTTATGATTTGATGAATGTGGCTGTCCGTCCGGTCGTAACTACGCCAATAATTTTGACCCGGCCACATCGGCACCTCAATGGGAACGAATCCGTGTTTGCTCAGCGCTGATGTACGCCCAAAAAAACACACTGGGCTAAATTTTAGTGATTTTCTAGGAATTTTCTTTAAATAAGTTTTATCTTAAAACTAGCATTTCGGTAATATTCAAACATTTGTCTTGAATTAAATAATAATCCATTAAAAAAAGTATTTTATTTGTGAAAAACTAATATTTTTCAGAGACTACTCGAAAAAAACATAGAAACATTTGTATCCTGTTAACTCTCGTTCAGAGCTATTTTTTACAGTGTAAGAAAGGCACATCTCACTCATTTTTTGGGGCCACTCGCCGGCGTTGGAGTATTGAAAAGTCTGAAGAATAGTTTAAGCAGTTTGTGGAGTTGAAAGCTGCGCCAGAACCGAAGGAAACGTAAATTTCTGGCGGCGTTCTTCTGCCTAATTAGGTGCCATCTCGTAAACGTATTCGCATTTTTGTTGCCCCAGTGGGTCTAGTTCTGTGATAGGTTTCTGGCTGTAGCTAACCAGCTAACAACATGTTTAGCTTTTTTCGCATCCTACAAAAGAATGCGGGAGGCATGGAACTTAAAAATGGGTGGCTAGAAATTAAAGGGGGTGATGTGTGTGATATCAACAATATAATTGCTTATAAGAGCCGTAAGGAAGTTTAACAGGTTATGATGCATATTGCTATTTAATAAATTTTGTGTTGTTTTTTGTAATCAACCATAAATCATTGTGTATATAAAAATTTGTTCATCTTTACAATACAACAACAGTCTTTACATAGTAGCTTGTTAAAAAATATATTTGTTGTATAAGTATCTTAAGTATAGCCAAAGTAATTAAAGTACAAAATATTTTACCCATTTCGTGAATTCTACGAATTTTTTCAGTAAACCTAGCCCCAATCAGCCCATCTATGTGCATTTACCCACACCTATGACACCGCAGCTGTCTCCCAGACACCTCGTCTCCAACCCAACTCCCCCTCTTAAGCCACCCACCCATGAAAGCCATTTGACAACCGACAAACGATCATAAAGCCAGAAAAACTAAATTTCTGGAATTGCAGTCGCCGCCGCTTCTTTGTGCCAATGTCATCACACAGAAGAAGAAAAGCTGCCGAAAATCGTGCGAGTGAATAGAGAGACCTTGCTTATAAGGTCTGTCGGTTCCCTTGCCCCATTGCAGCGGGAGGGGAAAGAGGGGAAAGGAGCGGCGAACGGAGTCCCCAAGTGGTTATTAGATTTTATTGGACGGGACACTTTTGCCGACGGGGAGTTGGGGCATTTCCACAGAGTTCTCTCACGTTGCGGCAGAGAACTGAGGCATGCATATGAAATGCAACTCGTAGGTCAGTACACCGAAAACAATTCAATCTATTTAGTAATATCTAATATATCATGATTATCAGTTGATATACTTTTGATATGTTATTATATCCCATAACTATAATTCGAAAATATCACTTATATATCAACTGGATATATCAAAACTGACAAGCCATCATGCAATAATATGCTATTATTTTGATATATCCCAAGATGAGATAACCCCCTGTTTTATGTCGCTATTTTCCCGGTGTATTCCCATATGCCAGAACCTATAACTCTTGCGCGATGTCGGTTGTTGGCTTTTATTGCAGGCAAATGCAAACAAATGCGACAAATGTCGAGTGCACACACGTATTTAGAGTTGTAATTGACAGTCGTACGAGTGCAGTGAGGAGGTCTCCTCTCTCTGGAGTCCGGTGAACCACTCCATACTCTACACTCTCCGTAATCCGTACTCCGTACTCCGTACTGCTCGGTGTTCCGTATTCCCAGTATTTAGTATTTTATATTTGCCCACGGCTTGTTTGACAACTTGCCGGGCACGTAGCACGGAGCAGTGATGTACTACAACATCGCACAGTCGCCAAACAGTGACAGAGACAGCCACGCTGGACTTTAC